GTGTGTGTGTGTGTGTGTGTGTGTGTGTGTGTGTGTGTGTCACCGCCATGCACCACACGGTTGGTGTCCCAGAGCTGCCCTGGGTGGTCCTGCTCCCCAGCCACCTCTGACTTAACCAACAGGACCCCAGTTCAAGGGCCACGGGTTTTGTCTGCCTCCTGCCACTGTATTCGTGGAGAAGGAGGACATGGGGCAGCCCCCCCCGTTAGCAGATTGGAGGAGGCAGCTCGTTGGTCCCAGGGCCATAGGAGTGGGACGCGCACGTGGGAGGACAGAGGACGAGGACGCGCTACTGTCCTGCCTTGCACAGTAGAACTTTCTGCTCTCAGGAGTGCGTTAGCTAAAAGGCTTTGTTTTCTATTGCTTTATTCACCCAAAGCAGCTGTTCCTGGAGTTTGCTCTGTGCACAGGGGTCTCGCCGGGTTTATCTGAGGGTCAGAAACGCTGGGTAAAACTCAGTCTGTCTCCCAGGAGATGCCCGTCTGTCATCTTCGTGGGAACATTGTGGTTGGGATGGATGTTTGAACACTTGGGATTTTCTCTTAAACCTGAGATCTGGTTTGGGTTCTTGCTGACTCTAACGGGACTGTTTAAAACCAAGAGGATCTGCATTTCCTTCTTGGCACAGAAAGGCCCCGGATCACATCAGAGCCCCAGGACGCAGATGTCACCTCGGGGAACACTGTGTTTTTCACATGCAGAGCAGAAGGCAACCCCAAACCCGAGATCATCTGGCTGCGAAACAAGTAAGTGATTTTCACTGTCCGCCCAGATGCCCCGTCTGCACCACTGGGCATGTGCCCACGCCGCCACCCTGTGGGCCCCTCGACACTCTCGGCCTCTCTGGTGGAGGGAAGGGTCTAAAGGAGAACGTTTCTGCATCGTTTCTGCTGAAAGGGGCCGTCCGTTACTCCCCCTGCCTGGGGTGAGGGGCGTGAGGGAGGCTTGGTTCTCCACCGGATCTGGGGGGAGGGCGGTCACTGGGGCTTCGAAGCTGGAACCGTCCTCCTGGGTGAGGAGGGCTCCTTCCTGCTGGGACAGCGTCTTCAGGGACGCCCATCAAGTGGGCACTTTTGTAGTTAGTTCCTTGCACGTCTGATCGGCCTCAGGAAACGAGTGTCCTCCCTTCTGTCCACAAGCATTTTGGGGTGTGTGGGGGCACAGGTGTCAGAGGACACGACAGGTGTCGTGTTAACGTGGAACGCTTTCCAGCATGCATTCTGAACCGACTCCTTGAAAACAGATTGTTAGCATGAGACCCCCTGTCATTGCTTCTGTGTTCATTCTCACGAGGACACGGACAGGCTTTTCTGCGGATCTTGGCTGTGGGCGTTTACACTCTGAGCTCGCTGGCCGTTCAGTCGTAACAGGGCGCAGAGGACCCTCTGGTGACCGAGCCCAGACGCCCGCCCAGCCGTCGTCCCTCCCAGTGCTGGGCCGTGTTCGCAGAGAAGATGCGCAGGAAGCTGGGGAGCTTGGCATCGGAGAGCCATCGGGTGCAGGAGGGGCAGCACTTTCCTGCCTGTGAAGTTTGGGAGCCTCGTCTACACCTGGGTTTGTCCTTATGACCCGGGCCCAGTGCCGTGCAGGATGTGAGCAGTGCCAGCCTGGTCCTCAGAGAGGGTGTTCTCTTGGATGGCTCTGGAGTTGTCAAGATTTAAAATCCTGAGTTAATACAGGAGGAGTACGTGTGTATTTGAAAAGTAGAAAGGCATGAATTCAGCTGAGCCTTTTCCATTAACCCCAGGCCTGGCGTCTGGTGCTGGGCTCTGCCTCCACCTGCCAGCCTCCCCTGTGGGTCCGCCTCCCCTGCTGACCTGCCTCCCCTGTTAGTCCACCTCACCAGTGGTCCTGCCTTCCCGACTTGCTGGCTCATCATGTTTATGGAAGGGAGCTGGGCCAGATCAGTAAGTCTCTTACGTTTGGAACCTGGGGGGACTCTTGCTTCCATCCAGAAAACCCCGTGGATGAGGACGGATGTCACTTTCGGTGGGTTGGTGCAGGGAGAGAGGTGTGTGAGCCGGGAGGGGAAGGGGGCTCTCACACCTGGCCGGGTCTTCAGCCGAGAGCCTGTAGGTTTCTGAGTGGCGTCCATAGGGAAATGCTCACAACAATGATGGTTTTGTCAGTCAGTGTATGTAATCATTTGCTTTAATGATAGCAAATGTTTCTGTCCCATTTTCTTGAGTCAGTTTGCCAGAAACCAAGGAAAATGTTTCTTTTGAATTTTTCCCACTATTTTCATTGTGTCCCTTTGGAAAGAGGACCGCTTTGAAACTTAAAAATATTTTTTGTTTTATTTTATTTATTTTTATTTGAGAGAGAGAGAGACAGGGAGGGAGTGTTGGGGAGGAGCAGAGAGAAGGAGAGAGAATCCCAGGCAGGCTCCATGCTGTCAGCACAGAGCCTGACTAGAGGCTCAGTCCCACAGACTGAGATCATGACCTGAACCAAAATCGGGACAGAGTGGGACCCCTGTACGACCACGCCACCCAGTTGCCCAAACTTTAAAATCTTTATAGACTGAAACTGAATAGTAAAAGTAACCAGGAATTAGTGATGCACTAGGCCCGCCCCTGTCCCAGACATGGTAATGATGTGGGACACTGTGTCGGGGGTGGGAAAGTGTCCTGGAAAGGCCAGGCATGGCGTCTCTGCCTCCCCACGTGCTCAGGTGTCTTCCGGTGTGGATTGGGCCTCCTGGAGCTTTCCGAGTCTGAGCGTGCCGGGTTTGTGTCTTTGCAGCAACGAGCTGAGCATGAACACAGATTCCCGCCTCAACTTGCTGGACGACGGAACCCTGATGATCCAAAACACACAGGAGACAGACCAGGGGATTTACCAGTGCATGGCGAAAAATGCCGCCGGGCAGGTGAAAACACAAGAAGTCACCCTCAGGTACTTTGGGTCTCCAGGTACGTGGAGAGGACGCCACATGAGGGTTCCTTCCAGAGCTGCCCTTGCTCGTGGCGCACAGGCTCCCTCCCTGCACCCAGCTGGGCAGGGCACGGGTAGGACGTGGGCAGGGCATGGGAAGGAAGTGGGCAGGATGAGAGCAGGAAATGGGCAGGAAGCGGGTATGATGAGAGCAGGAAGTGGGTAGGGTGAGGGCGGGCATGGGCAGGAAGTGGGTAGGATGAGAGCAGGAAGTGGGCAGAGCACAGGCAGGAAGTGGGCAGGATGAGAGCAGGAAGTGGGCAGGGCATGGGCAGGAAGTGGGCAGGATGAGAGCAGGAAGTGGGCAGGGCACGGGTAGGGTGAGGGCGGGCATGGGCAGGGCATGGGTAGGATGGGGGCAGGATGAGAGCAGAAAGTGGGCAGGGCACAGGCAGGAAGTGGGCAGGATGAGAGCAGGAAGTGGTCAGGGCATGGGCAGGAAGTGGGCAGGAAGTGGGCAGGGCACAGGCAGGAAGTGGGCAGGATGAGAGCAGAAAGTGGGCAGGGCACGGGCTGGGCATGGGCAGGGCCAGGGCAGGGTGTGGGCAGGGCGCGGGACCAGAAGTGGGCAGGATGCTGGCTGGAAGTGGGCAAAGCGTGGGTGCGCTAGTCTGCAGCGAAATTCCTTCACCCGGAGATGTCGGAGCACGTGGTCCTAGGTAATCCTCGACCTTTGCTCTGTTTTTTAAGAAGAAATTCAGCCTGATGTTTTCTTAAAATGAGTCCATTTGTGTTTATTGTCATGACCAACATATTTAGATTTATAAGTTTTGCATCCTGGGACTATTTATCCAGTCTTTTTTGTATTCTGTGCCTAATTTTGGAATAATTGCCCATCTTCTGTTTCCTGCTTCCACTTTGGAAGCCACAGCGTGGTTCCTTGATGTCAGTGATTCCCTAGGATAATATAAACGTGACCTTAAGTTACCAGAGTCGATAATCACCGCCTACTGTTGTCTCCAAAGTAGGCCGTGTTCTGATTTTTCGGTGTATGAAACATTTTGTGCTTCGTGTGTTGTGTGGTCATAGCATAGTTAGCACTTCTGAATCTCGCCCTTTCTTTCTCACTTGGAGCTGGAGTCAGGCGGCAGCCCCTCATGAGGACCAGCTTTGGGTTAATAAAACTTGAAGGAGATTTATTTCCACATTCGACTGATGCCAACTCTCTGTCTACATTGGGTGCGCAGTTGTACCCAGAGCTGTCCTCGCCTTTGCCTCTGTTTCTCCACAGGCTCTGAACAGCCACTTCTCAAACCACAGTTGCACGTGCCCTCCGGGTGGGCTTTGACTTTGGGGTTCTTGCCCCTGCAGATGGCTTTGTGGTCTCTAGCTTGCCATCTTCCAGAAATGCTAATATTAGGATCATTTCTGCACCTTCTATTATCTGTTCTTTAGATATGTGTTTAGTACAGAGTAAACATTAACCGAACACGAAAGGCGCAGAAATGTTCTTCTGTGTGTCTTTCTTCATCCCCTAAATTCACGCCTCCAACCCCACTCTCCCAGATTATGGCTAGGGCTGCCTTCTTCGCCCCCGCCTTGCTTGTTTTTCATCTCAGAACGTGACTGGTTCTCTTACTCGCTCCTTTTCACAGCTGCGTGGAATTCATGATCTGTGGCAACGTGATCTATTTAACTGGTTCTTTGGAGTTTCTGAGGTTTTTCCTCAAATCTTTTGCTGTTATCAGTCCACACCATCCCTTTATCCAAAACCTCTTGGGTCTGCTATCATTTGGAAATGAGAAATTGGGGGAATTTCAGCAGGGCCACCTGGTACGTAATCTGTTTAACTGGCTCGCGGGGTCCCAGGCACCGCCCTGTAGCCAGCGTATCCGCGTCCCACAACGAGCTGCGTGCAGTCACGTGATGAGGAGTAAGTTAAGACTCTAGACGCTTCTCGTCAGATTAAGTTTTACAAATAAATTATGAAAGATGTTTCGTGTTTGGAGCGTTTTTGGATTTCGGAATTGGGGAGAAGGGTGTCGGCCTGAATATACATCACAGGAATTTAAAAAGCACCCTTTTGGGGTACAAACCTTTTTTTACATGCTCGTAAACTCCTAGGAGAGTGATCTCTGGGTAACGGGGTGTATGACTTCTCAGTTCTGATGTGTGTGGCCACGTCACCGCAGGCGGGCCGTGGCGGTTTATGCCGCTGGTGTGTGAGCTCCGTGCTGCGTGGACGCCCTCACAAAGCAGGTCGCTCGGGGCACAGACTTTCTTCTGGATTTAGAGCTGGAACATACTAGCTCAGCTAGCTTGTGCTTTCTTTTTGCATAGGAAATGGGTTATTTTTATTTGTTCTAAATACAGTTTAAAAACAGTGTTTCGTGCTAGTAAGAGGCTCTGGCAAGATTTGACTGGACTGACCCAGTGTACTTAGAACGAACAGAAGTAAGGATCCTGCCTGGGGCTGCTCCGTCCACGCTGAAACAGGGAGCCGCCCGACCATCTGTTGGGCACTGACGGCCCTCATCCGAGGCAGCACATCCCTGCCGGCTGCACGTTCTTTAAAAGAGAAAGAAGACGAGAGAGTGTCGATTAAACTGTTTGCTTTATTTTAAGGCCAATAGATGGAACGGGTGGCCTGGAGAGAGAGAGGCCCGCGCAGAGCCCTGTTGCTTGGCCAGAGGAAACTAATCCAGAACTTGTGTTTCCTTGTGACAGCCCGACCCGCTTTTGTAATCCAGCCACAGAACACGGAGGTGCTGGTCGGCGAGAGTGTCACCTTGGAGTGCAGCGCCACAGGCCACCCCGTGCCGCGGATCACCTGGACCAAAGGGGACCGCACGCCCCTGCCTGAGGACCCTCGCGTGAGCATCACCCCCTCTGGCGGCCTGTACATTCAGAACGTCCAGCAGGACGACAGTGGGGAGTACGCGTGCTTCGCATCCAACAGCCTGGACAGCATCCACGCTGCGGCTCTGATCATCGTCCAGGGTGGGTCGGGTGCCCCTCGTCGCTCGCGTGCAGACCCTCTCCCCGCCCCCAGCGCGCTTCCCACCTCCGACTTCCGTGACTTTGGTTTCCGAATGGAGACTTTAGGACGGTTGATTTCTCCCGGGGCTTTACCTCAGGCGGTGTTATCTGTGGCACGTAGGGCACCTGGCGTGTGTAAGGCGAACACACGAGTGTGGGCGGTGTGCACGGGCGTGTTGAGTCCATCAGTAAGCCTTGCATTCAGCTTGGAACTTCCCAGGAGTAGCTTTGGCTCCAGCTGCAGATGGGACCTGTAGTTTTTTTTTTTTGTTTGTTTGTTTTTTTTTTTTTTAATTTTGTTTTTTTTTTTTTTCAACGTTTATTTATTTTTGGGACAGAGAGAGACAGAGCATGAACGGGGGAGGGGCAGAGAGAGAGGGAGACACAGAATCGGAAACAGGCTCCAGGCTCTGAGCCATCAGCCCAGAGCCTGACGCGGGGCTCGAACTCCCGGACCGCGAGATCGTGACCTGGCTGAAGTCGGACGCTCAACCGACTGCGCCACCCAGGCGCCCCGGGACCTGTAGTTTTAAGAGCTCAGCTGTGTGTTTCCTAACGTCCGACTGACTCTTAGTGAGTTTGTTGCCTTGTTAATAGATTATACAGTGAGGCATTTGAGGAGAAGCTCTGAGCCAGGAGAGCGTAAAATCCCGAGAGATCAGCCCTCTCCCGATGTGTCTGTCTTCCCCAGCCTCCCTCCTCCATGGAAGCCCCCTCCCTTGCCGTCTGCTGTGAGTCTGTCCTGCTGCCTCTTTGGGCACGTAACCGCGTGGTGCTGTCGTCTGGTCGTTACTGTTGCACGCACGGATCTGTTCTGGGCTTAGGGCTGTGTGATTCACCCCTCCGGCAGCAAACCAGCTCCTGTCCCCACGTACAGCTGGGCCAGGTGACACTTAGCCACGCAAGGACGAGCGGACGTCGCACGGCGACAGGAGCGGGACCCCCTCGTTAGCCTCACCGCCGTCCGCACACTGCGTGTGCGGTGGGGCTGAGTCAGCAGAGGTCTCTGAACGTCTCCCAGCGTCCCATGCCCTTCTGCCGTCATGCTGTTCCCTCTCTGGCGCCCCCCTGTGGCACAGCTGGCCGCTCGGGGCCGTGGCGTCTGCCCGGAGGGAGGACCCCGATGCTCCTTCCAGCGGTTTTACCCAGATCCACCTCTGAAATGATCTTTCCCATGTTTTTCCTCCCGGAAGCTCTTCCCCAGTTCACCGTGACCCCTGCGGACAGAGCTGTTATCGAGGGCCAGACGGTCGATTTCCAGTGTGAGGCCAAGGGCTACCCACAGCCGGTCATAGCGTGGACCAAAGGAGGTAAGGGCCGCCTCGGGAAGTCTGTCTGCCCTTTCCAGGCAGCCCCGGAGCCCCTGCCCAGGCCCAAGTGGTGGCCGAGCCGAGGCGTCCCGGCTGTGGGGACCATCAGCGTGTGTGTGTCCCAGCCTCGCCTTCGCCCACTGCTGCCGAGAAGGACACGGGGAGGAGACTGTCCACGAAGGCGCTGGGGTGGCCTTCTGCTTTCTTGCTCCTCCCATGTAGTCTGTGTCTTGCTTTTGATCTACACTGAATTAGCATCTCGTTGGGATTTAGCAGCATGTAGGATAGAAGTTTCTGGAAACTGATTGTAGCACATGTCTGTTGGAAGCTCATTTCCTGGGGCCGTCGTGCTGTGTCTCCACCTGCGGTGAGGTCACACTGTTGATCTCCACCTGTCGATCACGCTGATTCCCCGGGGCCACCTCTCCTGCTGCAGCTGGTGAACCGCAGGGCAGATGACGCAAAGACACAGACTTCTCCCGGGGCGCTGGCAGCCCGGCTGGGAAGGTGGGGGGAGGAGAGGTGGCCCCCGGGCTCCGCCCTGGGAGTGACCTTGAGAACCTGCCTTGAACCGGAGGGCAGCTCCCCTAAGGGGCCCTTAAACCAGAGGAGCACCCGGGCAGGTGCGGCAGGAGCTAACGCCTGCACCTCTATTCTGGGCAGGAGGGGCTCCGCCAGGGCATGTGCCCCCTCACCTGGGGTGTCCTTCGCTTCTGAGTAACTCCCGCCCTGACCCCTGCCCCGTGGCCCGTCCTCGAGCCGACGTCACACATGCCCCCTGTGTCCTGACTCCTGTGTGTTTAGCCTGCGTCCCTGCCATCCGCTCCTCCCTGCTTCTGGGCAGTTTCTCAGAGGCGGGGACGGGTCTCTTGTCCCTGACCTGCCGCACGCCCCGTAGGCTGGACCGTCGCTCAGGAGGTGCTGACCCAGGGGCCCTGCTTCTCGTTTGCTCCGAGAACGTTCTGCTGACCGACGTACCTGAGTCCTGCCTCTAACCCACCACTCACTGCGTGTCCCACTGACTGGCGCCCCCGTGCCTTTCAGGGAGCCAGCTGTCCGTGGACCGGCGACACCTCGTCCTCTCCTCGGGAACGCTCAGGATCTCGGGTGTGGCGCTCCACGACCAGGGCCAGTACGAGTGCCAGGCTGTCAACATCATCGGCTCCCAGAGGGCTGTGGCCCACCTGACCGTGCAGCCCAGAGGTACGCGCGGCTCCCTCCTGGCGGACCCGCCGCTCTGTGCGGATGCGCCGTCCGGAGACGTGGGCCTTCTGCGGCCAAGGTTCCCGTCACTGCTCACAACAGAGCGTGTCCTCTTCCTCTGAACACCCGTCCCTCGTACCTGCTTGAGGTACAAGGTGTGCATCCCGCTCGTGGAGCTCCTCGTGGGGAACCCTACGAGGCCGGCTTGTCCGTGCTCTGGGGCCGATTCTTCCCGCTTCACAGAACGGCTCTCATATCCTTTCCGGGATGGCCACTGTGGCCAGGGGTCTGATAGCTCCTGACCCGTGGACGAATCCTGAGAATGTCCCAGGGATTCTGTCTCTCGCCCCATTGTCCCATGAGCCTTCACACACGTCTTCCTTTTGTCCTTTGTGGGTGTGTGGTCTGACCATTCTCTCCATGAGAGGCGCCCAAGCCGGAGTGTGGCTGGTACTGCACGGTCCCCAGCCCCTGGGGGAGGTCCTTCCCTGATGGTTTGGGGCCTGGGCTGTCTTCCTGTTACCCAGGCGGGCTGGACTGCTCTCGGCTGGGGCTGACCTTCCCATTCCCGACGGGCAGCATGTGGGATGGCCTGTTGCATGAGATCCTGTGGGTGGTCCCTAAAGGGCACCAGGACTTCCCACGTGGGCGTGGGCCAGGATCCTCACTTTCCTGGCGAGGAAAGCTCTTCTCCTAAGTGTGCGTTTCCCGTCCTAACCATCAGGCTCTCTCCGGGGCCCGTGACGTCCCGGTCCCCCCGCCCCACGTAGACAGGAGCTGGTTAGGGCTGCGGTCTGCTCTTCAGACGTGCTCCTCAGGTCCAGCGTGGGCCGCGGGCAGACCATCTCCCCTTTCCTCCGGCCCTTCGGCCGTCTGCAGACAAGGCTAGGAGGCAGAGTGACAGGCTGAGACTGGCAAGAGGGCCCTGGGTCTGGCCTGGCTGCGGGCAAGGGGCTGTGCTCTTCTGAAGCCTTTTGCTGTAAATCACGAGTGTCGTGGGGTTTCCACCGTGGTCAGCCGGCTGCCCCTTGCTTTACAGTTACCCCGGTGTTTGCCAGCACTCCGAGCGACAGGACGGTGGAGGTGGGCACCAACGTGCAGCTCCCCTGCAGTGCCCAGGGGGAGCCTGAGCCCGTCATCACCTGGAACAAGGTAGCTCCTGCCACGGGCGGGGGAGAGGGGGGTGGCTGCCGGCCGCGCGCTTCCTCTCGGAGTCAGCAGATGCTGCGGGCCCCTTACTGACAGAGCAAAACGAGGCAAATGCACAACACAGCATCATCCTCTTCGCGACCTCCCCCGTGACAAAAGCCAGGAAAACCTTCTGGCTAGCTCCGTGGCCCCATAATCCATACAGGAGGTTTTGGGTGTTCTTGCATTCTTCCGTGTTGTTTTTCTGAAGCCCAATGCAAAAGTGCATTTCCACGTTTAGCCATTATAAACAAGAATTCGATGGGACGTGTCCCCGGAGGATGGGGTGGCCGTGGGCAGGGGTCCCTCGGAGGGAGGCTTGAGTTCCCCCCACGGTCTGCCAGACTTCACCTGCCATGATCACACGGGGCCATCCCGCTGGCCCTTGCCCAAGCTCTGTACCTTCCCTACCGTCGTGCACACCACATAGGGGTGTCCTTTCATGAGCCCCCGATCCCCAATCCTGGAGACTCCAAGGAACTTATCTTTGTCTTCTCTGGATCTTTTGCAGGAGTTTAAGAAAACTCTCACCGAATTGGATTAAATGTTCTCTTTCTAGTTTTGGGTAGATGTGACCGCAGTCCGTGTGACCCGTCCACTCATGAGGTCCTGACAGGCGGTGTCCCCACCCCAGAAAGACAACGCTGCTTCTTGGTCTTATTCTTAGTATCATTTCTGTTCTGCTTTGTTCCAGGATGGGGTTCAGGTGACGGAAAGCGGGAAGTTTCATATCAGCCCCGAGGGGTTCTTGACCATCCACGACGTCGGGACCGCGGACGCAGGCCGCTACGAGTGTGTGGCCAGGAACACTATCGGGCAGGCCTCCGTCAGCATGGTGCTCAGCGTGAGCGGTGAGTCCCCTCGGCGCGTGTGTCCTGAGGTTGGCAGACATTCTCCCGCGTGGACTCACATAGCAGGAGGGCACCTGGCCCAGCGTACTTGCAGACTGACGTCTGAGGGTTTTCAGGGTTATGGGAAGGCAGGGCACCCCCAGTTTGCAGGGGCGTTGCCGGTATCCTGAGAGGAGAGCCGCCTGCCCAGCCTCACGCGCTCTGGCGGCCACCCCGAGACCGCAGGCCGCTGTGGTCACGTGCCCTGTGCGGCTTTTCTTGATGAGGGGTTTGGTGGTTGGTGGAGTCATCATCCAAACCCATTCGGGTCTGGGAGCATGTAATTTGCAGTCCCCATCTGGCAGGAGTGGACGCGGCTGGTGCCCCTTCGCTGTACTCGTGCCGGTTCTGGAAGGGGCCACGTGTCCTCCCGGGATGGGTGTCTGTCATCACTGACCGGTCCCACCCCGGACCCTGAGCCACGCCAAGCCCACCTCTGCATCTGCCCCTTGCCTGTTTCGTTCACCTGTTCTGTCCACGTGCTGCCGCCTTCTTCCTGAAGGCTCAGATCCCCGACGTGTCGCCGTCGCTGCCCTGTGCCCCGTGGCTCCAGGACAAACCCACAGTGTTAGGTTGGACCCAAAGTTGCGTCTTCCGTACGTCCCGTCAAGCTTCCCCTCCGCCATCCCGAGCGGCCACCACCTTCGCTTGGGTCTGTGTTTTTGCCTTCCTGCCTTCTCCACGGGCTTGTGAGTGCCCACAGGAAGCAATGGGGTTGGGTTGGTTTGTACACCCGCCACCCGCCACGCCTTAAGCCTAAAGCCACTTCTTAAATAGGAACCACGGGGGCTCCCGGGTGGCTCAGTCGGTGAGGTGTCTGACTCTTGATTTCAGCTCAGGTTGACTCCAGAGTTGTGTGATCGAGCCCCGAGTCGGGCTCTGCGCTGACAGTGTGGGGTCTGCTTGGGATTCTCTCTGCCCTCCCCCTGCTCTGCCTCTCCCCAACTTGTGCTTTCTGAGTCTCTCTCTCCAAATAAATAAAAAATTATTTTAAAAGGGCAGCCTTTTAAAAAAAATGAAAAAAAAAAAGTGAACCATTAAGGAATAACTGGAAGCCTGATTTTGGAGGGTTTTTTTAGGGAAAAATATTATTTTCCCCATCATACATGGTGTGTGAAATGGATGTAAAATTAGATTGGTGAATTTTATGCCTGTGTTTTTTTAATTACAGTTTTTTATATCTGAAGTAATGTTACTTAAATGTGAATTGGTTATATATGAGATTTAAAAATAATCTCCCCACGATCCCACCTCTAAGAAATAAGCACTATTAACGTTTTGGTGAATTTCCTTTGTTTTTTCAAAAGGTAGGTAAATGTTTTCGTGTTAGTTTTCGTGATTGTCGTTTACAGAGGAAAACAAATTGAAGTGATTCATAATAATGAAACATTGGAGTCATAACATTCTATACAATTATCGGACCCTCTTGTCTAGCACTTGGCATAAAAACATTCGGTTCCAAAAGTTAGTAAGTTTGGCTCCGTGCAAGACCCACTGCGCGGGGGGTCTGCCTGGGAAATGCTGTTGGGCCACGTGGGTCAAGAGCAGGTAAATGTGTCCCACGCACCGTGGCTCGCCCGCTGCGTGCCCGTGTCGGCGGGGAGGTGAGCGTCCCAGGCAGCCGCTCTGTACACGGCTGAGGGCGGGCGCAGGGGTGTCGAGGGCCCGAGGGGCTGTGGCTCACGTGCAGGCGGCGGACGCAGACAAGTAACAGAGCGAACAGCAGGCTCCAGTCGTGATCCGACCGGGAGGCTGGGGCTCGGGGCAGGTGGTCGGGGAGGACCCGCCCTGGGCACGCACATTCTGAGGAGCGGGGCCGCGTGGCCTGGCGCGAGGGGCGGGCGTGAGGCCTGAGGTTGGGACGGGCCGAATGCCAGAGGCCAGGCGGGGTCAGGGCCTCGTCAGCCGGGCTGTAGTCTGGCTTTTATTGCACGGGTGTGGGAAGCCACAGGAATGGTTCGAGCAGTTCTGAGGCAGTAAGGACGGTGAGGTGTGGGGGAGGGAGCGAGGACGGTGTCTGCCAGTGTCCCAGTCGACGTGCTGCCACAGCGCGGGCGTGATGGGCCTGCCGGCCGTGGACCCACGCAGAGCCTGGCGGGCGAGCGCCGTTCGCTGAGATGTCACAGAGCGGGGTGGAGGCTGGGATGAGGCGCACGGAAGGTTCTATGTCCACGCGTGAAAAGCACGAGGAAGCTTCAGGGAGAGAGATGGGCTGGTGTGGATCTGTCAGTGTTTAGACCACTGCCCCATGTGACCCCCAGGGAGGGCCTGAGGCTGGCCGGGCTCAGCGGGGAGGTCTGGTGGGAAGGAGGAAGCAGCCACACCGCTGCAGAAGGGACAGGGGTGGGGGTAGGCATCAGGAGGCAGGAGTGGGGATCAGGTAGACCTGGTTCCTGTAGGTCCTTGGGAGGTGTGAGGAATCAGGAGGGAGTGTGTCCCAGCGGGAGGGAGTGTGTCCCCAGAGGGAGGGAGTGTGTCCCTAGAGGCAGGAAGTGTGTCCCAGGATGGAGGAAGTGTGTCTCAGAAAGGAGGAAGGAGGGAGTGTGTCCCAGCGGGAGGGAGTGTGTCCGCAGAGGGAGGAAGGAGGAAGCGTGTCCCAGGAAGGAGAAAGTGTGACCCCGGAGGGAGGAAGTGTGTCCCAGGAATGAGGAAAAAGGAAGTGTGTCTCAGGAAGGAGGAAGTGTGTCCCTGGAGGGAGGAAGTGTGTCTCAGGAAGGAGGAAGGAGGAAGTGTGTCCAGGAAGGAGGAAGTGTGTCCCCAGAGGGAGGAAGTGTGTCTCAGGAAGAAGGAGGAAGTGTGTCCCAGGAAGGCCGAAGTGTGTCTCAGAAAGGAGGAAGGAGGGCGTGTGTCTCAGCGGGAGGGAGTGTGTCCCTGGAGGGAGGAAGGAGGAAGCGTGTCCCAGGAAGTAGAAAGTGTGACCCCGGAGAGAGGAAGTGTGTTCCCGGAATGAGGAAAAAGGAAGTGTGTCTTAGGAAGGAGGAAGTGTGTCCTAGGAAGGAGGAAGTGTGTCTCAGGAAGAAGGAGGAAGTGTGTCGCAGTGGGAGGGACTGTGTCCCAGGAGGGAGCAAGCGTGTCCCAGGAAGGAGGAAGTGTGTCCCAAGGCCAAGTGAAAGAAGCATTTCAATAAGATCATTTAAATTTGTGTCAGACTCTGGAAAGGCTGAGTACGTTTAGGGAAAAAAGTACCACTTCGTGCCCGGTGACCTTTGCTCCAGCTGCGTCAGTGGATAGGGGTAGAAGATCGGTTGGTTTCGGGGTTATTTTATTTAGCAAACTCTGGTATTAAGTGGGAAGAGACGAGAAGAGGGAAGTGGAAAGGCCCAGAGGCCTGCAGGCTAAGCCGTGTGAGCGTGTGGTAATGGTGCGCTCGTGGCGGTGACGTGATCGGCCCATAGTGGACAGGAAAATGGAGGGAGCAGAGTCTTTGTAGGGGCGGACGGCTGGAGATCCAGGCACCTGTGGAGGGTTTGGCCGCTGACGGAAGGACGGAATCCACCAGGAATTAAAATTGGCCGGAGCCGAGCCTCCACTCGTGGCCGGGCTTCGCTGGAAGAATTGGCTGCTTCACGTCCGAGCTACTTTTCCCATCCTCCTCCAGGGTCACGTGGTTTCAGAAATTAAGGTCTATAATTTACGTATGGCTTCAAAATAGCTTCTAGCGTGATCTAACTTTGGTGTGAAAAATAGTACTGGAGGGACGTGTGCCTTAGTCTAAATGATGTCGTGTTCAGATGTGATCACCTGAGTAACTTGCGGGGCAGTTTTTGGGTAATGAACGACTTTGTTTTCCAGTTCCTGACGTCAGCCGAAACGGGGACCCGTTTGTGGCCAAATCGATAGTTGAAGCAATTGCGACTGTGGACAGAGCCATAAACTCAACCCGCACGCACCTGTTTGACAGGTACTGGGGGCGGAAATGGGTTCAGACCACTGTTTGGTCAGTCTCCGGGGTGAAGCGAATGCGGTTCAGGACACGAGGCTGTGACCTATGGCGTCTGAAGAAAGACCTTTCAATTTAAAAGTCACAGTCTCCATTGGCACCGGGTTTTGTGGGGTTCAGATAACAAAAGTCACCGTTTCTGAGTAGCAGCTGAGCTGTGACTCACAAAGAAGACGTTTTCAGAAAATCTCCACTTACTCACTTGGCTACTACCGAATGATTGGGCAAAAACAAAGTATTTGTCGGGCGCGTTGTATTTGCTCGTGTTGGCAGCTCCAAAGTGTTTTTTCCTGCCTCATAACCATGTGTCTTGTCTGCTGATTTAATGATTTGACTTTAGCGTCCTTGGTTCTGACGCTTTCCACTTGGGATGAGTAAGGCACGGTCCGCCGCGTCTGGAGAAGTGGCTTCACCCAACACTCAGCGGCAGCTATCGTACCTTGGGTGTGATGTTCGTTCTCAGGGGTTTTTTCTGTTCTTCCCTCTGCTCCTGACCCATTAGCCGTCCCCGTTCTCCCAACGACCTGCTGGCCTTGTTCCGGTACCCGAGGGACCCCTACACCGTGGAGCAGGCACGCGCGGGAGAGATATTTGAGCGGACGTTGCAGCTGATTCAGGAGCACGTGCGGCACGGGCTGATGGTCGACCTGAATGGAACAAGTTAGTCCTGGGGTCTTTCTCTCCCGAGTGCCAGGCGTCCACCCCACCTGTGTGGCCTCCTTGGGGCCCATGCCCGCATCCCTGTCTGAGTGCAGGCTCGGCTGCCTGGGTGTGGGCCACGCCGGGTCCTGCAGCGACGGCCTCGTGTATCTTGGACGCCCACATGCTGCTGGCCCCCGGCCGAGACCCTCGGTTCCCCATAACAAATGGCATGGAGGGAAGAAGGGGCAGGGCAGCGGCTGCCACGTGAGGCTGTGCACACGGGACGAAGCACTGAGCCGTCGGGACGGCATCTGCGGCGCTCGGGTGTTTGCAAAGCGGCTGCTGAGGCCTCCCGGGTGAAATGTGCACGGTGGGTGACTGATGCCCTCTCTCCGGCCCCCGCTGTGCTGGGAGCAGAGCAGCGCCATGAGAAGTGCCGGGTGGCCGTGGCTTTTATTCTGGAAAAGCAGCCTTCCCACCACGCGTATTCTTTCACCGCTTTCCGGGAGCACGCACAGTCCCCTCTCTCTGGGAGGCAGGCTCCGGGTTTTCAGGGTTTTCTGATTGGTCTTCAATGAGCCGATCTTTTCCATCAGGACAGAAATGTTGGAGAATTTGACATTCTTAGATACGTGCACATGGCTCGAAGATGTGGGAATGGGCCCCTGTCCTTGGGAGTGGAACGCGGCCTTCAAGCCTGACCTCTGCCTTGCACTGGTTTGGGGCTGAGCTTCCTGGCGCGGGTGTGCAGACTATAGGCCTGTTTCCTCGTCTTGGAGGGCGCTGGCCTCAGTTGAGTGTCGGGGGCCATCTCTGGACGTTTTCTCTCTTCCATGGACGGCCAGCCTCACCTTGGAGGTGCTCCCTGGGGAACCTGTTTTGGGCACTTCTCCACTCTTCGGGCCCAGGATGGGGACAGGGATGTGTGAGGCTCATAGCCTTGTCTTGTGGACAGGGACATGTGGGGTCTGTGGCCTTGTCTCCGTGGACAGGGATGCTCGGGGCTCATGGCCTTGTCCCCGTGGACAGGGATGCGTGGGGCTCGTGGCCTTGTCCCTGTGGACAGGGACGCATGGGGTCTGTGGCCTTGTCCCCATGGACAGGGATGCCTAGAACTTGTGGTCTTGTCATCGTAGTGCCTCGCGGTGTCCCCAGCCGTCTGCGATAGGGACCATCCTCTGCCCCCTGTGGGGGCCTGTGGGGTTGCCTGGTTTTCTTCCTCCCTTTCTTTGTGTGGCTCATCGTTCAGGAGCTAAATGTGGCCGTGGCGGCTTCCGCAGGCGGGTCCTAAACACTGTGCGGCCTCTGTATGAGGCAGAGCCCGTCTGCTGTTGGTCCTTGTGCAGGACTGCGAGGTCGCCTCCCATCAGCACGTGCTGTTTACAGGAACACGGGGACCCGGACAGACAGGAATCAGCACCCCAGCACGGGTGCACAGCCTGCCCCACTCGGGGTGTCTGAGGCTGGGCAGGCTGGGCTGGAGCAGGTGGAGAGACCAGGGAGGGGACAGGATGAGGGAACTCTCGGGTGCCCAACCGGAAAGGGCCCCTGAGGCGAGAGGAGGGTTTTGTCATCGTCTCCGTGATGTGGGGGTCACGGGGCTTCTTGTAGAAAAGTGACCTGATCACGTGGATCAGGTCGTTGGGTGGCCTTGATGTGAAGGGGGAGGGGCAGCGTGGGACGCGGGGCAGGCGTCCGTGGGGTGGCCCAGGGGGTCCTGGGTGGCAGGTGTCCGTGGAGTGACCCAGGGGCACCTGTGGAGTGACCCGGCGGGTTCTAGGTCATGGGTGTCCGTGGAGTGGTTGCGTGGGGAGGTGAAGCATTGCAGTAGGGTGGCCAGCGAGTGGGGTGGCTTCCAGCTGTGCTGAAGGCAGAGGTGACACTCAGGTGACTGGGTCTCTGCCCAGGGGCAGGAAGGCCAGAGGTGACTCTGGGTGAAGTGGGGAAGCTGGAGGCCAGGTTAGTGGTGGGAGGGACTGTCTTACCTCCAGGAGCTCGCAGGCATGCTCAGGGGACACTGGTCACCAGGGGTACCTGTGCCCTCGAGCTGCAAACCCTGGTGTCCTAACTCGCCTTCGGAGTCTTCCGCTGACGGTCCTTCCGCACCTGTGCCCGACACAGTCCAGTCTGTTCCATTGGCCTCAGGTGCCTTCTTTTCCTCGAATTTCAGTGTTTTCCCTGGTAGTTGCTTGTCTGCCTTCGGGGGTGGTTTTTATATCTAAAGCAAAGAGCGAGCAAGCATGGTTGCGGATGGTCAGGGCAGTGCGCAGAATCCCCGGCAACCAGCTCGCTACCCAGAACTTCCTGATGCAGCCGGTGGTCAGCCCGCCGGGTTAGTAGGAAGGCTTGGCCTGGCAGCAGTTTATCAGGGCGCTGGGGGAGACTCGGGCGTCCAAAGCACAGCACACGTGTCTGGGTTCACAAAGGTGGCCTGTCTGTGTCCAGCCCTGCCTGCTGGCCGGTGCCCATGCTTGCCCGGGCTGTGCTCGTCCCCCCGACTGGAAAGCAGGCCAGAGGAGAGAGGGGCAGTGCAGGGGGACGCCAGCCCCGACCCCTGGGGGTTCTGGGGCTTCCCGAGGTAGACACCCCGATCCCGCTCTGCCGTGTCTGCGAGGTGCCCGCGGACGGAGTGTTCGGGTCTGAGGGAGCTGAGCATCGGGCCGGCTCGCAGCCCCGCGTGCCTGTCCTCTCATGCGGCACGCCTGCCCCCTCCCACCTCCAACTCGCTATTCCCTCCATGGGTGGGACTGGCTCGGCTCCTTTAAACGTAGGCAGAGTCCGTCTTGACCGGCTTCAAGCAGGTACCGTGCAAGACGGTGGTGACCAGGAGTCTAGCAGTGTGGGCGGACGTGTGAGCCCGTGTGCCCTTCTGTGTGCACGTGTGCCCCTCTGCCTATGTGCCGTGTGTACACGTGTGCCCCTGCGTGTGAACGTGTACCCCTACACGTGCATATGTGCCCTTGCGTGCGTGCTCTTGCTTCTGTGCGCGTGCCTCTGTGTGTACACGTGTGCCCCTGGGTGTGTGCGCCCCTCTGCCCGTGTACGTCTGCGTGTGCTCCTGTGTGTGCACGTGTGCCCCTGCGTGTGCATGTGCTTGTGTGTGCCCTGCATGTGAACGTGTACTCCTACACATGCATATGTGCCCTTGTGTGCATGCTCTTGCTTGTGTGCGAGTGCCTCTGCGTGTGCACGTGTGCCCCTGGGTGTGTGTGCCCGTCTGTGTGCACGTGTATGTCTGCATGTGCTCCTGTGTGCTCCTGTGTGTGTGCCTGTGTGTATGCACGTGTGCCCCTGCGTGTGCATGTGCTTGTGTGCCCTGCGTGTGAACGTGTACCTCTACACATGCATATGTGCCCTTGTGTGCATGCTCTTGTGTGCGCGTGCCTCTGCGTGTGCACGTGTGCCCCTGGGTGTGTGCGCCCCTCTGCACGTGTACGTCTGCGTGTGCGTGCCTGTGTGTGTGCACATGTGCCCCCGTGTGTGCCTGTACTGTGCACGCGGGCATGAGGGTGCCCCTGTGCACACATGCACGTCCCCCTGAGCGCGAAGCTCTTCCAGCAGTCCCAGAACAGGCCCCTGGTGCACGTCAGGTCTTTCCCGGCTCTTCCTGCCAGGACCCCTTCCCCGGCACTGTGTGGACCCCGGGCCGTCCCCCGTTCCCCCACCGCGCGCGCCCATCCCACGAGGGTCCCCTCCCCTGGTTCCCGGCCCGGCAGGCAGGACTGGGTGGGGGAGGACCACGGGGGCCAGGGCCGCGTGCCCGTGTGCTGCCCGCCGTCCAGAGGGTGAGCCGCGTCCCCCTCTGCCGCAGGTTACCACTACAACGACCTCGTGTCCCCCCAGTACCTGAGCCTCATCGCCAACCTGTCCGGCTGCACGGCCCACCGGCGCGTGAACAACTGCTCGGACATGTGCTTCCACCAGAAGTACCGCACGCACGACGGCACCTGCAACAATCTGCAGCACCCCATGTGGGGCGCCTCGCTGACCGCCTTCGAGCGCCTGCTGAAGGCCGTGTACGAGAACGGGTTCAACACCCCGCGGGGCATCGACCCCGGCCGGCTGTACCATGGCCACGCGCTGCCCGTGCCTCGCTTGGTGTCCACGTCCCTGATTGGGACCGAGACCGTCACGCCCGACGAGCAGTTCACGCACATGCTCATGCAGTGGGGTCAGTTTCTGGACCACGACCTGGACTCCACGGTGGTGGCCCTGAGCCAGGCTCGCTTCTCCGACGGACAGCACTGCAGCTCTGTGTGCAGCAACGACCCCCCCTGCTTCTCGGTCGCCGTGCCCCCCAACGACCCCCGCGTCAGGAACGGGGCTCGCTGCATGTTCTTCGTGCGTTCCAGCCCCGTGTGCGGCAGCGGGATGACGTCCCTCCTCATGAACTCCGTGTACCCGCGGGAGCAGATCAACCAGCTCACCTCCTACATCGACGCCTCCAACGTGTACGGGAGCACGGAGCATGAGGCGCGCGCCATCCGGGACCTGGCCAGCCACCGGGGGCTCCTGCGGCAGGGCATCGTGCAGCGGTCGGGGAAGCCGCTGCTGCCCTTTGCCACCGGGCCGCCCACGGAGTGCATGCGGGACGAGAACGAGAGCCCCATCCCCTGCTTCCTGGCCGGGGACCATCGCGCCAACGAGCAGCTGGGCCTGACCAGCATGCACACGCTGTGGTTCCGGGAGCACAACCGCGTGGCCGCCGAGCTGCTCTCCCTGAACCCGCACTGGGACGGGGACACCATCTACCACGAGGCGAGGAAGATCGTGGGCGCGCAGGTGCAGCACATCACCTACCAACACTGGCTGCCCAAGGTGCTGGGCGAGGTAGGCATGAAGGCGCTGGGCGACTACCGCGGCTATGACCCGGGCGTCAACGCCGGCATCTTCAACGCCTTCGCCACGGCCGCCTTCAGGTTCGGCCACACGCTGGTCAACCCCGTGCTCTACCGGCTGGACGAGAACTTCGAGCCCATCGTGCAGGGACACATCCCCCTGCACAAAGCCTTCTTCTCTCCCTTCCGCATCGTGAACGAGGGCGGCATCGACCCGCTGCTCAGGGGCCTGTTCGGCGTGGCCGGGAAGATGCGTGTTCCCTCGCAGCTGCTGAACACGGAGCTCACCGAGCGGCTCTTCTCCATGGCCCACGCGGTGGCCCTGGACCTGGCCGCCATCAACATCCAGCGGGGCCGGGACCACGGCATCCCGCCCTACCACGAATACCGAGTGTACTGCAACCTGTCGTCCGCCCACACCTTTGAGGACCTGAAAAATGAGATCAAGAACCCCGAGATCCGGGAGAAGCTGAGACGGTGAGTTGAAGGAGGAGCCACCGTGTGGCGTCTTGGGTTTCTCAGCGTTGTCAGGGTCCGGCGTGCCGAGAAAGGTGGCCCCACGTGTGCATGGCTGTTGTTCTCGGGATTCTAGTGTGTGTTTGTGCAGCCGGGAGGGCAGAGCCTATGGAGGGGTCGCCTTCGGAGGCCGTGCAGGTGCAGGGAGCGGTGGCCACAGCCACGTGGGTGCCCGGCCTGCTCGTGCAGGGGAGTCCGACGGGAGGGGAAGGACCTGCGGGGAACCTCGGGGCCCAGCGTGCGTGCGTGGGGCTCTGTGGGCAGCTCCCTTGCTCGCGGCAGGCAGAGAGCACCAGAGCTCGGCCAGCACGACAGGGACACCTCTGTGTCCGGGGACCGCTGCCCACAGCCTCAGGCAATCGTGCGGGCTCCGGGGAGCAGGTGCCCGGGGCCTGTGGCGCTGGAACCGTGAGGGTGCTCTGGGCACCCCAAGACCACAGGGGCAGCAGGGAGGTTAGCGGCCTTGGTCCCTGGCTGGGCGGTGCGTTAGACCTGCATTTCTCCACTCACTCAGCCGTCCGCCCGCCCTTCTCACGGGCACGGCTGCCCTTGGCTTGCTGACTACCTACCATGTGACTTATCGTTTCTTTAATGCAAATAGTCCCTCTTCAGAGTTTTTCCATAACGATCCCTCCTCGTCCTCGGACTTGTCAATTACGTCTACAAGTCATTGTATATTTAAGTTGCGTTCTTTCACGTTGGAAAGAATTGTTTGAAAAAGGAAAGCTTTCTGAGGCCACACTGCGTGCTTTCTGGACACTCTGGTTCGCCCGGTTCGCTTATTCTGAGCTACTCACTTTCCACCGAAGGTGAGGCGTTCCCCAGTTAGGATCTGACCGTGGCTTCTCCAGGATGATCACTTTTTACTCGTAACTTATCACGAGGTGCGACGACGTGAACAAACCTAGCCCTCCTGAGTCCGGCACGTTCCAGCATCCTTTAAGTAATGGTATCAGGCTGCCGGTTTGTGTGAATCCTGCGGCACTGGGACATCACCAGGCACAGAACCGCTCGGTCAGGATTTGTGGGATCTGTGTTTCTTACGTGCCAGTCCCGTCCGGATGAACACAGGTCGCTCTCCCGTATTTCTCTGCTTTGCCAAACTCCGTTCACGACAGTGGGGAGACCCTAGCGTCCCAGCGCCACAGGCCGGGGGAGGGGTGCCCGCCTCGTGCGCCGCAGACCCTGGAAAAGAAACTCCACCGTCTTCACCACGACAGCGAGTTCTTCAGCCGTCAGCCCCCGAGCCCCGCGGGAGGGGTGGGGGGCCTGGCCCGAGTGGGGTGCTCCCTGCTGGCTGTGGCCCCCGAGTGAGCGGGTGTGGGTGCCGTCCCCTCGTGGGGAGCGGCTCCTTCAAGCGGAGGCCGCGTTGGCGGTGAGGTCACGGGAACCGTGCAGGCTGGGGCTCCCGACTTCCCCGCCTGCCTTCAGCCCCGCTCCCTGGGGAAACCACGGCACGAGGCTCCTCTGTTTGCAGCCGAGGTCAGTGCTGATGGAGTGGGGCTTGGCGGGAGCGCCCAGCCACCCTTCTCGAGGGTGCCTGAGCAGCACCCCCTTTCTTCTGTGGCCACAGCCCCGCGGACGGAGCCGGCCGCGCCTCTGAGCCGGATAGTGCACGTTTAGAAAACCCAGCCGAGCTCTGAGTCCCAACTGAGACCAAGCACCCGCGTCTGGGAGAGCCGCATGCGTGTCTCAGGGGAGAGCCTGCCGCCAGCTCTCTGCCCATGTGCATGTGCTTCGGGGGAGCTGGAAGAGCTCAATGAAAGTGTTTGCTCTTGAACGTTTCAACCCCGCTGTCTTGGCCTCCTGTGCTGTTCTGCTGAGCAAATGGCTTCGTTACTGCAAACCTATTTTCAACAAACGGTAGAATTCCAGCGTCACAATTACCCCTTGGAAAGTCTGTCCTCAGTTATGTGAAGTTTGTTTATTTATATTTATGAAAAAAACCTGGAAGGTTGTACATTATCCTGCCAAGTGTGATGATCTCTGAACAGAAAATGTGGGATTAACTCTCTTCCCGTATTCCTTGGTTTTTCTAAACTTAGAATAAACGTGCGGTTTGCTTTATGCGTGTGTATACGTATGTGCACAGAAAGTAGGGAAAAGTTTTGAAATGTAACGGATAGACGGTTTGAGTGATGATGAATGTTCTCTGTGGAAAGCAGGTCTGAATGATGCTAAATGCTGGTAAAGATGGGGACTTTCTCACGTTGGTTTTGTGTACCAGCTACCGCACGCCTACGCAAATTTGAGGGTTCACTTGGTTGTTTTCCTCTGTAGGTTATACGGGTCCCCCCTCAACATCGACTTATTTCCTGCCCTCATGGTAGAGGACTTGGTCCCTGGCAGCCGACTGGGACCGACCCTGATGTGCCTGCTGAGTACACAGTTCAAGCGGCTGAGAGATGGGGACAGGTAAAGGCAGGTGCCGGAGGGACGACAGGTGAAGGCAGGTGAGGCCGGGGAGAGCCTCTGCTCGGAAACGCACCCTTCCGGGGACTCGGGGATGTGCGGGGCAGGTGGCGGAGACTGTGTCCAGGTGAAAGTGGATGAGCGTCTTCGCGCCTCGCCGCGTTCGTGATTAGCTCCCCAGTGTGGGGACTTGCCCCCGACTGCAGCCCCAGGACCACGTGACCCAGTTCACAGGTGCTTTCGTGCCCTTCCACGTAGTGAGGGCATCTCTGTTCCCAAGAACGGTGCACACGGTTCAACCGCCGTGGCAGTTCGGAGGGATCTGAGCTTCTGGCAAGACTGACACGATGTCACGAGTGGGGTTCACCGCGGGGCAATGCAGCAGGGGCCGCGCCACGCCAGGGGTCTCACCCCCACCTGCGCCAGCTTCTCTGCTGCGTCCGGTACAGGCCCCGTGTGTTGCGTCTTGAGTAGGAGGCGTGATCCGTGCTTGAGCCCCTCTTAAGTGACAGCGGACTGGGCCCCGCGGCGTCCGTGCCGTCGGCAGAGCTTCCTGGCGGTTTCCCCGCGCCTCCGCGGGGCCTCCGGGCGTCTGACCTTGCTCTCACTCTGGAAACAGGCTGTGGTACGAGAGCCCAGGGGTGTTCTCCCCGGCGCAGCTGACACAGATCAAGCAGACGTCGCTGGCCAGGATTCTGTGCGACAACGCGGACAACATCACGCGTGTGCAGAGGGACGTGTTCAGGGTGGCCGAGTTCCCCCACGGCTACAGCAGCTGCGACGACATTCCCCGCGTGGACCTGCGCGTGTGGCAGGACTGCTGCGAAGGTGCGCGTCCCCGATGCCCGGCCCCTCCCTCGGCCCCTCCCTCACCTCTGTGGTTTGTCTTCCCCACTGCCTGCCCGCTCCTGCCGCGCTCACCGCCTGCTGTGGTGCTCCCGGGGCGTCTGGCGCGGTGCTCCCGGGGTTCTTGCTGTGGTGCTCCCGGGGTTCCTGCCGAGGTGCTCCTGGGGCAACTGATGTGGTGCTCCCGGGGCTCCTGCCGTGGTGCTCCCGGGGCGTCTGGCATGATGCTCCCGGGGTGTCTGGGTTGGTGCTCCCGGGGCTCCTGCCGTGGTGCTCCCGGGGCTCCTGCCGAGGTGCTCCCGGGGCTCCTGCCGAGGTGCTCCCAGGGCGTCTGGTATGGTGCTCTCTGGACGCTTGGCCGCAGTGGGGACAGAACCAGGTACCGCCCCTGCGGGCAGCCACGTAGGGTCGCTGCACAGTCTGAGAGGCCGCGATCATGAAGGACTGGTGGTGACGTGGTGGCGTTTCCTGTAAGTGACGTGCCCAGTGGAGGAGACAGGAGACAAGACTGTGCATGAGGAGACGGGCTTCTGTGTTGTCTCTGAAACCTAATGTGCATCTAAACGGGGGCACTCGTGTGTTGTCCTGAGTGTCGTGTATGCGCACGCGCAGGTGGCCCTGCCACGTGGACGCCCCCAGGATGTGTGCTCAGTAGAGAAGTGTGTGCTGTGCGTCCAGACCCCTGTGAGAACACCGTACCCGGAGGGGCGCGTTGTGTAAGATCGGGAGGCGGGCCGAGGCCTGTGGAGGGGTGGGGAGGGGTGGCGCCCGGTCCCTGCCGCGGGGCTGCTGTCCTCCTGCTGCGGAGCCCTTGCACTCCCACTGTGGCGAACCACGAATTCCACCTTCTCATTTGAACGTGATTTTGGCTTCATTGAAACTGCATTTGGAGACTGGAATGTGGAAGCCGGGTGCGTTTGGAGCTGCCCTGTGTGCGTGACCCACACGCCCGCGGACACAGCTCCTTCCGCCCGGCACGCCGGTGGACAGGAGGCACGGACTAGAGTTGTTCCCTCTCCTTTCCGGAAGAAATAGTTCGGTCAGGCTCTTGTCCTCACTGGTGATTACTCTCAGGTGGCTGCTGTTTGCATGAGGAGGTATCGGAACCTGGGTTCGTGGCCTAGAGCTCTTTGCGGTGTCTCCCTTTGAGTCCGTGTGCGTGTGGGTGCCTGCGTTGATTGGTTGTGCGTCTGCCCCCATTGGTTCTCTGCGTGTGAACGTATGGTGTGTGTACACGTAGGTGCTAAACGGATGTGTGGCACACGCGGTTCACAAGAGAGTTCGCGTGAAGATGAGGACTGAGTTTACTGCACGCCCCATCTTCCAAAGCATTTGTATTCTCACTATGACCTCGAAGGAACCATGGTCTTGTTTTTAGTTTTTTTGAAAAACATCGTCCTTGTTTGTCCAACTCCGCGTGCTTTCCTGCAAATCTGGCAGAGGATGCAGGAAGCTGTCCTGACCCCTGGGAAAAGCCGGTTCTCGGATAACTGGCTTCCTGATAGCTTTACCAGGGGCCCCTTGCTGCATAGGAAGGGGCTGAGCCGGGGTTCCTGTTGTTCCGCTCGGAAAACCCAGAGTCCCGGGAGAGACGGGGTCTTGCCAGGCGGGCCTTTCCTGGAGCTGCTGGGGCCGGCTCTCCTGTCCGCGCAGCTGCCAAACGCATTTCTGACATCCTTTGTCCCCGACGCTTTTCCTCTGGAAATAGCAGGCCCGGTCCAGAGCTGACCAAGTTAAAGGATGCTTTGTATTTAAAAAAAAAAATTTTTTTTTTACATTTATTTATTTTTCAGAGATAGAGTGAGACAAAGTGACAGTGGGGGAGGGGCAGAGGGAGAGGGAGACACAGAATCCGAAGC